CGAAAAAACTGTGCCAAATAAAATATATGGATCACTGCACTGTGGCGACACCTCTGGAAATAAGGTAGCAGCATTAAGTATGTTTAATGCACTTAAGTACTTCTAAAGTAGGTTTTGCATGTATTCTAAAATATCTGTCTCCTTAATATGTATTTTTGAATCTACCAGCAGTAACTAACATTAGCCTCCAGCTGCAGATGATTTTAATCTTGCATGAAAGTCTGCATGAGTACTTTCACTTGAAGTGCATTAAGTACATTATGATGATAAAACTTTTGCACTTTCACCTAAGCAGGATGATACATTTTAAACACCCTGCCCTGTTCTTGGATGACAAAAATCTACTCGAATAATTTCTTCCACTTTTGCATAACTGTAAATAATGGATAATGATGCTGCTACAACAAACAGAAAAAGTTCAACTTGCTAAATGTGTTGCAAGACGAGGAAACTTCCAGAACACTGCCGCCTGGAAAAAGTTAAGTTGTTGGATTTTTTTTTTTTTTTACAAAACTCTCTGCTTAAAAAGTCAAGCGCTCCCAAAGCAGCGCGCAGTGATTTAACCCCCCACCTTTACCACACACGGATCTCTCTAAGCACAACTGTAACATCCAGATCTCAGCAGCTGGCTGACTTTGACAGTTTCGCTGTCTCGTTGTAGATCTTACCTGATGGAGGTGGTGACACGGACAGGCGCCCCGGGAGTGGTTCAGTGCGTGGGGTCGCAACGGGGACACACCACTGTCGCATGGCTCAGCGAAGTTCAGCTCGGCTGGACCTCTGAGGAGTCACACAGGAGACTTGCTGCAGTGTGTTGCGGTTAAATCGCCTCTATTAGCATCTTGCCAAACCTGCAACAACAGATCACTCCCCTAGCAGCCTGTGCTGGCTAAGCTAGCGCCGTCAACTCCAGTTGGTTCCCCTGAGCACCAACCTCCCATCAACTGCTGCTTAGCTGTCCTGTTAGCCAGAACGAGACTAGAAAGCGGAAGCGATGCTTGCAACCTTCAAAGTAAGACAAACTGGTAGCTCGATAACAATAACCATTTTCACATGATGCACAGACAGAATTAAACTGAATTCGGAAGCATATAGCTATTTTATAGCTATTTTCCAAAATGAGTCTATTTTCCACCTCTCTTTCTATCTGGGGCTATTTCCAATTATGTCTCAATGTAATGTTAGGTTTTTACACTTAACTCAGCTGTAAAACGACAAACATAAATAAATAAAGTAAAATACTTTTCACATGCCATGTCTTTTCTCAAATTTCATTATCCACTTATACACATAGAAATACAAAGATGAATGTGAAACGCTTAGAAAGTTAAATGTATTCACCTTTTGACCCATTTACTGAAATGACAACTATTATTTTGCTCCAATGATGAGCGCAAATTACACTTTTATTTTGAAAAACTCGGGAAACGATGCTACTTACTCTGGTTAGCTTGATAAAACGGTCTGTCTTGTCTCGGCTAACAACTTACCCAAAACTTGCACTTTAAGGGCAATCTGAGCAATGTTTCAAACAAGCAACCGTTTACGAAAAAATCACCGTTCTAGAGTGCTACAGCCAAACATTTTATGTGTTAAGTCGAAGGGCTGGGACCACCGCCAGCTGCTAACGGGTTAGCTCGCCTGCTAGCTAAGTTAGCTGGTGGCTAGCAGCGGATTGTCCCGCCGCGGAGCACCTCTCTTACCTCCCGTTGCTGAAGAGAGACAGCTGCAGCCGGCTGGTCGGACAGGGCAGATAATTAAAAGTGGCAAAAAAAAAGTAGCGGTCCACTCAACTCCGCTATAGTAAATAAGTCCTGGGTTGAAGGCGGACGGTTAAGTTAACGAATAGAGGGTGAAGGATGCGGGGTCATGTTGTCTTTCGCTATGCAGTGGGGAAATAGTATATGCAAACGAGAGGAGTCTGTCTCAATTTGTGACCCCTCACCCGACAGTACCGTGAAGGCAGCAAGAATTATCATTATGATTTCCGGTTGTACAGTGCATGCTAGAAAACGTCTACCCTAAATTCAAGCACGGCTGCAGGGCGACATGAAGCCAAAAGTAACATTTTAACTAAAGTGACTGAAAATGTAACGATGCTCGTGCGTACATCTCGCTCAGGCGGCTTTAGCGGCATTTAATGCCCATGATGAAAACATTTCTTCTTTTATTTTGGACAAGTACTTAGGAAATATGTCACTAAATCGGTTTTCCTTGACGCATCACCGCCCAATACATAAGTGGGTCTGTATGCAGACTGTAATAAGCTTCCTCGCAAGCGTTTGCAGAAGAAGCCATATGAACAGGAGGTAAACAACAATTATAATGAGTGGATAAAACGAGAGTGTGGCTGTTCTTGGCTTGGAATACCATGAAATGTACTTAACCATAATATGTATTTGCAAGGAGCATTTACAGCTTTGTGAGGTTGTGCTTCGCAAAGCAGTCAGTGGGAGCCTGTATAGAAAATCAGAAAAATCTATAAAAATTAAATGCAAATATGGACAGAAAAAATTGGGGACAACTTTTTGGTTCTTGGGCATCACCCTGTACTTTAATACAGATGGTATGACTTTAAAAGGTGACTGTGCACAAATGTTTGAAAAAGATTCTGAATTAACTATTTTTGCATAATGTTGGAAAAAGTATTTGACTCTTGTTTCAAGTAAGAATCATAATACTACAATATGAAGGTACGTGTTTCCAAGTCCGGCAGTCAAACTCCTTCAGAATCTTTTTTTAAATATGGAAATCTTTTTTTTTTATTGCAGCTATACCAAAAGCCTATAAAATATATCCTCTCATTCAGTGCAAAGAAAGAAATTGATCCTAAACTTTATTTTATTTACAGTATAAAACAGTATAGATAGATAGATAGATAGATAGATAGATAGATAGATAGATAGATAGATAGATAGATAGATAGATAGATGTATATGTATGTAGTTATTGATTGATTACTTGTAGTAAAAAAAAAAAGCAGTGTTAAAAGAGATCCATTATCACTCAGGGCATCTACATGAAACGTGTCATTATAATTCATAATAATTAATTAGAATTACTAAAAACCTATAATGTCATAATATACATTATGTTAGTATAGCGGCACGGTGGCATGGTGGTTAGCACTGCTGCCGCACAGCAAGAGGGTCCTGAGTCCAATTCCACCATCAGTGGGGTCTTTCTGTGTGGAGTTTGCATGTTCTCCCCGTGTTTGCGTGGGTTCCCTGCGTGGGGATAGGTTAATTGGATAATCCACTAGGTGTGAATGTGCGAGTGAATGGTTGCCTGTCCCTGTGTGTTGGCCCTTCGACAGACTGGCAACCTGTCCAGGGTGTACCCCGCCTCTCGCCCTATGACAGCTGGGATAGGCTCCAGCGCCCCCCGCAACCCTGAAAAGGATAAGCGGAAGTGAATGGATGGATGGATGTTAGTATAACTATTAATCCACAAATAATAATAATGAGTCAGGTATTCCTGGGCCTCTCCGTCTGTGTAGGCTGTAGACATAAACACCTTCCTATAGCGTTGTTGCGTCTTTGTACATCAGTACTCTCCAAGAGTGAATATCAACTGCTGATCTAATCTAATATAGCTGGATTTCATTGTCCAGCTTCACGCAGACACGTACAATGTCATAACCATATTATACAGTCTGTGGTCTAAACCCAAAGGATTACTTGACTCTGACTGATGTGGTTCTCTATATCCACTCTAAAGTTATTGTGCACTGTAGAGCTGTGGAGCCAGCCAGCAGACCGCCTTAATAGCAAGGGTTGATATACAAAAAGGTTGTTCATCTAGGACCAGCTTCATAGGTTATAAAATTGAGAATAAGGTTATTGTAACTGTGTTGCATTTTGTCCAATCTGACAAGTTTTGTCTTGTGATTGTAACAGATTTTGCAAAAAATAAAATAAAATAAAATGATTTCACAGAGGTGCTGTGTCTTTTTCTGTTTTCTTGTTTTTCCCCTTTCTATTATGGTAAATGTTCTGTATTTGTATAGCGCTTTTACTTGGTCCTAAGGACCCCAAAGCGCTTTACACTATACACAATCATCCACCCATTCACACACACATTCACACACTGGTGATGGCAAGCTACATTGTAGCCACAGCCACCCTGGGGCGCACCGACAGAGGCGAGGCTGCCGGACACTGGCACCACCGGGCCCTCTGACCACCACCAGAAGGCAACGGGTGAAGTGTCTTGCCCAAATTATAATTTAGCTAAAGAGTGAATCAATATTATATTTTATTATAACCTCTGTTTTCTTTGTATTTTTGCAGGGTCTTTACCTCACAATACAAACCACCTTGAGGAACTGTTGTTGTGATTTAATGCTATACAAATAAAATTGAGTTCCTCATACAGGAAGGATGGGATTGTATAAATCACCTGTGATGTTTTGTCTTTGTTTCCAACTTATCCAAGGATAGGATCGTACACTTTTGGTCACATTTTAAATATACAGTAACGCTAAAGTCAGGAGAAGACAGGTTGGTGTGTATAAAAACTTTCCTCAGAAGTGAATACTCATCTGTCTCTTTCTAAGAAACTTCCTGATAGGCAGACTTTTTGTATCTTTTGACACAACCTGGCTCGTTGTATCACATACCTTTCCTTATTTATTCTAAGTCAGGCTAACTGGCTTTCTTTGAATGTAAGACTTGTAGCGTCCAGGATGGTGCAGAGCCTGTGTGAACTAGTGAACTAGTCAAGGTGTGTGTGTGTTTTATCACCAGTTACAGAAGTGACTCTAGCTGAAGAATGGGTCTATGTTTGCTTTGTTCTGTGTACCTCCCTCCCTTTCTGACTGTACCAAGAAGGCACAGGCAGGTATTAAGAAACATATTAAAGCACCTTCGTGCTTGACATGCCCAGTTCAGAGTGCGTCCAAGCGAGCGATACCTCAGCAGTGGGTCCCACATCTTGGGATTTTCTTTTTTAGTGCTCTGTTTCTACAATTGGGTTCAACTGACATCTGAAACAACACCATGAACTGGATCTTCTTGGAGGGTCTCCTCAGTGGGACTAACAAGTACGCCACAAGGTTTGGTCGAATCTGGCTTGCCATTGTCTTCATCTTCAGGCTCTTGGTCTTCTTGGTGGCTTGTGAAAAGGTCTGGGGCGACGAACAAAAGGACTTTGATTGCAACACCCGCCAGCCTGGTTGTCAAAATGTCTGCTATGACCACTACTTCCCCATCTCTTACACCCGACTCTGGGCTCTCCAGCTGATCTTTGTGACTTGTCCATCCCTTCTCGTGACTCTCCACGTTTCCTACAGAAAAGACCGGGAGCGTAAGCACCGGCTAAAGTACGGAGAAGACTGCACACCTCTGTATGATAACACAGGAAAGAAACGAGGGGGTCTCTGGTGGACCTACTTTTTCAGCCTGCTGTTCAAGATAACTGTGGATGGCGTGTTTGTCTTCCTGCTGTTTTACCTCTACGAAGCTGCATTCTTTCCTCCACTGGTGAAATGCAGAGAAGAGCCATGTCCCAATGTGGTGGACTGCTACATTGCGAGGTAAGGGATACCTTTAAGGTTCTAAATGGCCAAAAATTTCAAACGCTTAATCCTACATTATGTTTTATCTCTTACACTCTGTTTTCCAGGCCAACGGAAAAGAAGATATTTACTGTCTTTATGGTGGTGACCAGCTTTGTGTGTATTTTCCTCACTCTTTGTGAGGTGTTATATCTGTGTGGGAAGAGGTTCCGGGAATGCTGCAAAAAAGGACCTCGCTCCATGAGAGACAACTCCTTCATGATGACCAGAGTTCCTCTGAGTGGTAATGAAAACTCAGCCTACAAAGAACCGGTTCTGGAGAAGAGTGTGACCAATGGAGAACCGGGCCAGAAGGGTTCAGCCCCGCCCTACACCATAGCCTGAGCTCATTATGTCCTGAGAGACATAATGAATTTTTAAATATCAGAATCAGAATCATCAGCAAATGCTTACAAACAGATGATGTTGGTTATTTTGATACCAATTTTACATTTTAACTATTTTATGTTTTTGTTCCCCAACATTGATGTGTTGAGCATGTATGTACTGCTATTTCAATAAACGTTTAATCTGATACTATCAAAATGATTTTTTTTGGATGTATATGACCATATGTCAAGACTATCTCTCCACTCTACATATTCCACATGTTCAGCAATGTACACTGAGCAAAAATATAAACGCAACACTTGTTTTTGCTCCCATTTTTCATAAGCTGAACCCAAAAATCTGAAACATTTTCTACATACACAAAGGACCCATTACTATCAAATGTTGTTCACAAAACTGTCTAAATCTGTTAGTGAGCACGTCTCCTTTGCCAAGATTATCCATCCCACCTTGCAGGTGTGGCATGTCAAGGTGCCGATTAGACAGCATGAATATTGCACAGGTGTGCTTTAGCCTGCCCACAATAGAAGGGCACTCTGAAATATGCAATTGATCACACAGCACAATGCCACAGATGTCGCAACTTTTGAGGGAGCGTGCAATTAGCATGCTGACTGCAGGACGTCTACCAGAGCTGTTGCCCGTGAAATGAATGTTTATTTCTCTGCCATAAGCCTTCTTCAAAGGTGGTTCAGAGAATTTGGCTGTACATCCAACCGGCCTCACAATCGCAGACCACGTGTAACCATTCCAGCCCAGGACCTCCACATTGAGCATGTTTAGCTCCAGGATCGTCTGAGACCAGCCACCCAGACAGCTGCAGCAAAAATCAGTTTGCATAACCAAAGAATTTCTGCACAAACTGTCAGAAACCGTCTCAGGATCAAATGACCAATGGTGGGTGGGGTTGTGGTATGGGAAAGCGTATGTTATGGAAAACGAACACAAGTGTATTTTATTGCTGGCATTTTGAATGCACAGAGATACCGTGTTGAGATCCTGAGGCCCATTGTTGTGCCATTCATCCATGACCATCACCTCATGTTAAAGCATGATAATGCACGGCCCCATATTGCAAGGAGCTGTACACAATTCGTGGAAGCTGAAAACATCCCAGTTCTTGCATGGCCAGCATACTCGCCCTACATGTCACCCATTGAGCATGTTTGGGATGCTCTGGATCGACGGATATGGCAGCGTGTTCCAATTCCAGCCAATATTCAGCAACTTTGCACAGCTATTGAAGAGGAATAGACCAACCTTCCACAGCCCACAATCAACAACCTGATCAACTCTATGCGATGGAGATGTGTTGGACTGCATGAGGCAAATGGTGGCCACACCAGATACAGACTGGTTTTGCCACATCTGTGGCCTCGTGCTGTGTGATCAATTGCATATTTCAGAGTGGCCTTTTTATTGTGGGCAGGCTAAGGCACACCTGTGCAATATTCATGCTGTCTAATCGGCACCTTGACATACCACACCTGCAAGGTGGGATGGATAATCTCGGCAAAGGAGACGTGCTCACTAACACAGATTTAGACAGATTTGTGAACAATATTTGATAGTAATGGGTCCTTTGTGTATGTAGAAAATGTTTCAGATCTTTGAGTTCAGCTCATGAAAAATGGGAGCAAAAACAAAAGTGTGCGTTTAAATTTTTGTTCAGTGTAGATCTAGTCTTTCCCCTCAGAGAACCTGGGTTACAATGTAACCAACCGTTATGATTCTCCAATCTACATAACACAAAATTTCTGAACCTGTGCTGAATGAATTAAAGTAAACTGATTTTTTCTTTAACTACACTCAGAAAGAATTAGGCTGGACATTATAACTTCTCAACAATTTATCATTTTTTAGTTATCCACCATGGTTAGACTTTCATTTAAATTCCACCACTTTCTACAGAATGTTTTACCTGTTTGGAACATTCAACAGAAAAATCGTCACGCCAAAATATATAAAAGTTTATTTGAAATGCTGTTCTAGTTTCTGTAAACTTAGCAAGTGGCTAAACCCAACCCAAAGCTGAGACAGATCACTGGTGTTCTGGTTAAGTGCTTGAGACAAATTGCAATGCTGTAAAATGAACTAATAGGCCAGACTGCTACTACCATTCCATAAGATCTTTTAAAGTAGTCAGCAAAACCACAATGTGATGTATCCACATGACAACTTCATGTGGTAAGTGAAGGGAGTAGCATTAAAAACAAACACTACTCCTACACTAGTTTCGCACCACCTCAGTAAAAACTACATTTGGCATTCCTTCTACGAGCGTCATATCAAAGAACAGATTTGTACTGAGTGTACTTATAAGGTGGTGACTGCTGCACTTCCTAACCTTAGAAAATCAACAAACAAATGCATATACTGTTTAGCGATATCAACTCTCCATATCTCAGGTGCATTTTAGAGTTGTTGCTCAAACAAATGTTAGGTGGTAGCCTGGTTGACTAAGCACCTACCCAAGGACATATCTTCACATCTCAACTGCCTCATGAGACTGATAAGAAACATAAGAAACTCAAATCACAGTGGACAAATACAATTTAAAATGTGCCTTATTAAGGCTAAATGATAGCGTATCACTACGTATGTGTATTTTGTAATTTTTTTGCTGCATTCATAACTTTAAGGTAGTATATTGTCCAGCACTCCGATTAGCTGGGTAGATGCCAGAAGTGGACACACCTCTAGATTATGACCAATCCGTCCAGAGGTTGAACCAATGTTACCTGTTTAACTTATTTTTTTAGGAAGTTTATTTCCCAGACTGGACGCATGAAAGACTGCGTGCAAGAACAGAAGTCATAAGGTAAGTTTCTTTTAGATACAGTCTCACATAAGTTATTTTTCATTTTAAAACTTTATTTAGAAAAAGAAATCCTTAAGTTTAATGGAAGAACTAAACATGGAACACAGTTGAGGCAAGCTTCAGCTTAAACTCTTCTAAAGGTAGCCGAGGTAGAGAATCAAGTATCTTTTGTGCTGTCGAGGGATTTTATGTTATAAACCAGTGAGCATTTCATTAATTATTAATGGCATATTTCTTTAAAAGTGTCAAATTTTGAACATAAGTGAAAACATGCTGTGAGAAGTGGGAGAGCTTTAGGTTTCAGAGCTTCCGAGCAAAAGTTTGATCAGAAATGGGAACACCTATTTGAAAGACCCACTGTTGGGAACAGATATTCTCTGGATGATTGCATAACTTTGCCTTTATGTTTTCTTTTTTTTTCCTGCCTCCCCAAATATTCACAGCTTAAAAGAAACGTATTGAAGCCTGAACTCATGGATTGGAAAGTTCTTCAGGGTTTTCTCAGCGGCGTCAACAAGTACTCCACTGCCTTCGGAAGGATCTGGTTATCGGTGGTCTTTGTTTTCCGGGTGCTGATCTTCGTGGTGGCTGCTGAGCGAGTCTGGAGCGACGAGCAGGGGCACTTCGACTGCAACACCCGTCAGCCTGGTTGCACCAACATCTGTTATAATCACTTCTTCCCCATCTCCCACATTCGCCTTTGGGCCCTCCAACTTGTTTTCATCACTTGCCCTTCATTCATGGTGGTGCTCCACGTGGCTTACCGGGAAGAACGGGAACGCAAGTACCGAGCCAAGCACGGCGATAACACTCGGCTCTACAACAACCCGGGACAAAAGCATGGCGGCCTGTGGTGGACGTACCTGATGAGCCTCTTCATCAAAACTGGTTTCGAGATCACTTTTCTCTACTTGCTCCACTACATCTACGATAGCTTTAAGCTGCCCAGGAAGGTTCAATGCGATGTCAGCCCCTGTCCAAATCTGGTCGACTGCTACGTGTCTCGACCCACTGAGAAAACCGTTTTTTCCTACTTCATGGTGGGGGCATCCGTCCTGTGTGTGGTGCTCAACATTTGTGAGATATTCTACATGATTGCGACCAGAGTGGTGAATCGAAAACAACACGGCAGCATCAGAACTGCATCGAGAAAGGTCCGCCCTGAAGTGGACTGCGACGCCTGCAAGTCCTCTCACGCTGAATAGCTGAAGACCCTTTTGGGGAACTAAAAATCAAGAAATCTTCTCATGCCCCTTATTAATCACCTATTTTTATGCATTAAATGTTAAGTAGTTTCACCTTTGGCTTTCAAATCTTTGATATGGTGTTTTGCACATTTGAAGATCCCTTCCTAATATCATTCAAATGTAAGATTATCCACTTGACATCTGACACCTCATATCAGCTTCAACTGAACTTAAGTGTGTGTGTGTTTTGTTAACCTTCAGAAGGGATCTCTCCACGGCCCTAATGGACACGATGATAATTTAGGCCTCTGCGTGTTGTTGAAAAGCACCCATGAAAAAAGGTGAACGCATTCAGGTTTATTGTATTTACATTTATAAAGTTTCCAAAATGTAATTTAATGTAAATGTTTTAATTCCCTGTTGTGATCTTACAAATAAATGTTTGATTAAATATCAAGAACTGATTTTCACATTATGGGCTGAACATTCACAGATTTGTGACTACAGACAGTACAACACTGAGCAAAAGTGACTATTAATTTGTTTGACTTAGTCGCTCAAAGTGACAAAAATAAACATTACAACTTGTATATATTTGTAAAAATCTGTAAAATGGTCATTCAGCTTCATATTTCTTCAATAGCGTCACTGATCCACTTGGTGGCAGTCAAGCCTTATTGGCATATGAAGGGACAGAACCCATCAGTGATATCCCCAGAGTTCCGTTGTTTTGTGACTGTTTACTATTTGGGCTTCTTTAAAAGATTATTTTGCTGTAGTTGCTACACATTCTTTTACTCTTGTGCAGCTTATTTATTTATTCAAACCAGCCACATATATTGAAGTTTGGACTTTTTTTTTAATGGCAACTGTCAAACTGTCAAAAGTTACATCACAATCATTCAAATATTTTTACATTTAAAAAGAAATCTATAGGCAGTGCCCTGTCTGCATCAAGGTTAGAGAATGTTATATATATAATTATT